CCAACTTATGGGAAAATATCCATGTATTATTAGTGGAGTTAGCAGGATTAGTTGCGAATAAGTTTTTCACTCACCCAAACCTCTATCCACGAGATGTCAATTCGAAAACGCCGACAAGATTACTCTAGCTCTGAGCCACTGTCAGGTTATCAGTCATCATCTGGAGTTTCCTGAGCCACCAAGCAACCACGCCACAGTCACATCAATTATTTATAAAGTCTTTCACAAGAACACCACGACGTGGGAAGCTGTTTAAAACACGCTGCGGAAGCTAAAATGGTCACTTCACTACATTATCATAAGATTACATTGCTATTAGCGAACATCTTAATCAGCTTGTCTTCGGAAACCAGAAATAGCTAACGGAAGCTTTATTACAATCATCAGTCTTATGGATTTCCGATCCTTCACTTGTTTGCTTTTAGCTACATTCAGCCGTGACTATCAGTTCCCTATAAAAAAATTGTCAGCGTTATGATCCTTATTCCATTATTTGGGAAGTCATTAGAGCTATCGTATTCAGAATAATTATTGGCCCAGAGTTTTAAAACGAGTGTCCCCGTTGCAGTGTCCTTGTTCGCGTGGTCATTTTCTTACCGTATTCTGATTCTCTCTCTCTATCAGTGTGCAAGGGGCTCATTCATGTTTGAAGATACTCAGTACTTCTTCCTGTGAGCCGTCGTATGTTAGAAATAATCCTTGGCGAGCTGCAACTTCAGTTAATAACTCAAGATAACATAAGAGGAACTTGTCTCCTCCTGCGTTTCCACAACAACTGTAATTTGCATTTTAGTTTTGAACATGCTCGAGCTCGAATTTTCCCCGGCTCTAAAGAAATGCTATCTCTGCTGTTAACCTTATTTCTCCAAAGCTTAATTACAATGTCAATGGCTAGTCGAACTTGTGAATAGGCAACACCTTCAAGCCCGTCCAAACGCAAGCAGCGTTTCAACGCAAAATATTATTGTTGTAAACTTTCGGCCATCTTGTTCCATAAGCACACATGTGGCAAGAGGTTGACCAATTCCTCGCAGCAATGGAACAGTGTGTTGCGTTCAAAAGTTGCGAATGACTGAAGCGTTTTACCGGATCTTTATTGACGAAATATGGTTGAAATCAAAATTTGTTTTTCATAGTAGAGCTCAACATTTTCTGTTGGGTACTATTCGAGGTAATGCTCGCTGACAAATGAGACCTCCCCGCCATATTTTATCTTAGTGTATTTTCCTCACCCTTATACTTCAATTTTGCTCAGAAACTTACGTATAGCATAACTAACTAATATAGCAAATATATTCTAACTTGTTATTATCGAAGATTCGTTTTTTAATGAGAAGTTATAAACAATTTTATTGCACGTTCTGTTGTTCTCTTAGCTACAACGGTCAGTAGTTCACAAGTCAATGAAGCTCACGCCCCCGATTTTTCAATTTTCGCATGTGGTATACGAGAGAAACTAAATCACGAAACTCCGGAAATCCTTTTTCTGATGTAGAAATTTGTAATAGGTATAAATTGAAAGAAAACTCGATGTGATGATTTTGTAAGGCAAGTGAGTGAGGGACACGAATCACCAGTGATGAACTTGCCGTTATTTGCCAACCGTTTGCCTCATCTCTTAATTGAATGTTTCTATAAACGATGGGCAAAATATATTGCTACTTCACACATTAGAACTTGTTAGTCAGTTTTAGATTCTGAGAACGCATATAGTATTGAAACACACTAAGTTAACTTATAAAAATCAGTTTTCTTGTAAGGGCTGCTCAAAATAAATATGAAACAAACGGCTAGTCAACTGAAGCTTTGTATTGAAATATATCTTTCTACACAGGGCAATATTTTTACCAACCGTACCACGCAGCAAAATACATAGCGAACGGTATTTTTTTTTTGTCTCAAACCCCAACGCATATATAATTCGACTATTAAACCATTTTTTCATAAAAGTTTGCTTTCTATTAAACAACCTGGCGATGGAAACTTCGCTAATTATCTCTATTTCGATTCGTCACTAAAGAGAGGTGGAAATTGCGTTTGAGCAAAAGCCATGAGGTTTTTACGTGTATTGGCGTAGCAACAACTTTTGGCGTAACAAAAGCTTTTGTAGTATTTATTTTGAGACTAAAGTGAGCGTGTGGGTGTTGAAGTTTACAAATTATCAATAAAACTGCATTTCTTTGTAAAACTGAAAAACTAATTATAATAACAACATAATATCTATCTATGTTTCGTTTGATGACTAACCCACGGAAAATTTTAAATTTCACTTCCCCTGTTGTAAGACTTAAGAATCGAACGTAACTCCCTCGCTCTAAAAAGCATGTAGTAAAAGTACATTTAACGCAAGAGATTATTAATCTAGACATCTGTATATGGTTGAGGCTATTGCACGTTCAAGCATCGCCCTATAAATCGAGATTTGCCGATCAAAGATTCTATATATATCGTCCTAGAACCGAAAATCGGATCGATTCCCTATCAGCAATCAAGCCAGAATTTTGCTGATGATAGCATTTCCACGATGGGAGGAAAACTCAATTATGACAGCTTTGTTAGCATAACAAATGTTGAATCCTAAAAAAAGAACTTCTAAAAACAGTCTGCCTGGTGAAATTTTTAATATTAAGTTGCCGTGAGCATGAATAACAATTTAATTTTTTTTTCAGTAGTATGACACTCTTAAAAAAACATACATTTATTACCTCGATTCGTTGCCACGCTCTGGACCTTGGCCACTTTCAACTTCCGAGTAAAGCATTCGTCGACCAGATCACGGTTTGAAAGAATCCGGTGATTTTACAGCACAGATGATGTTGTCAGCTTCATAGGTAACAAGCGGTGACTAAATTTTGTCCAAAACAATGACAAGAAAATTGTCCAAGGCTGTCGAAGCCACGTCGACCTTTTGCACTGGTGATCTCGCAGCTTTAGCAGCCAAAGAAGTTTTTCATTCCATCTAGCTTGGCAGATTATTTCGTCTTTTGACTCTGAGTAAAGATTATTTCTTAAATATCCGAGTTTTGTCCCGATTTTAGCGTTGTGTACGCTATGTATTGGTGGATTTTAACGAGCGCGCGCAGTGATCACCTGTCGAAATGCGTGGGAGGAGTGGGAAGGGAAATTACCATCATGTAACATGTTCAGACTTGACGTAAGCTTCCCAGCTTCCCACGCGTGTCTCGCTTTGTTCTGTGCTGGCCAATTACACTCACGGGCGCATGAAAATAAAGACCGGTATTCTAATAAGTTCAAGCTTAATTGGAAAAACTTCTGTAGAGGAGGAGAGAAGCGGAGCAAACTGGGAATAGTCCGAGACATGAAAAGCAGCTGTCCACCAGAAAAATAAAATTACTGAATTTAAAATATATCAGGTGATCAATCATTGCGTCAATGAGGAATTTGTTTCAGGCGAAAGTCTTTTGTTTAACAGTGGCGATGGGGACAATAACACAGCATTCTATCACAGCAACCGGGATTAATTGTTCCCAGTCATAATATTTTTCGAAATACTAACAAAAAACATAACTCTCGCGGGGACTTCTACGCGGGTTTCGTCATTACTAACTTCGTGTTATTGAAACGAAACCTCATTTTCAACCAACCATTCAAAACGCTTATAAGATATATATATTCCAAACCGTCGTGGCACTTTTTAATCCCATTTTATTATTGTCTTATTTTATAATTATAATTCAATAGGGCAATTTTTTTAAATTTTAGTTTCAGCCATTCATAGATTACAGTGGTAGCCCGCCCGCTCCATTGTCTAAGAATACCATGTTGTTTTGGTATGGACAGGCGCTCACATAGTCAGTTACTTTATTAAAATACCCTTAAATACGGCCACCAAACTTTGAAGGCCGTTGGTGGTGTAGTCAAACGAGCTGTGTCATAACAGCTAAATTCAAAATATTAGCTTTCCAAAGGAAGAAACGCATTAAAGACTTAATGAACAACGATGACAAATAGAGGAGGATTAATTCAAACATGTATATTTGGCAAATTTTCCAATCAACGGGGTTCTGCTATTGTGTAAACCATGACAGGTTTGAAGGGCTGTTCATTTTTTTCTTTTTTCTTTTTTCTTTTTGTTTTTTTCAATTTACGTGGAAACTGTCTTTTTCTATGTGAATTTCAGTTTTTTCCCCACTCGGTAGCACATGTAAAATGCATGTTGAGTTCAACTGTTTTCAATGTCAACACAAGTTGTACTCCCACACGGAGAAAACTGTTGATTATAAAATGAATAATATGTCCTATGCCGTTTGTTTCGCTTGTCATGTGAGGTAGCTGTGTTTTGTATAACCACTTAAAAAATTCCGAAAAAATTAGAATTGATTGTTAGTTTTACATGACACGTTAAAGTGGCAGAATCAAAATTTAAAATGAGCTCGTCAGCACGTGGAAAATGCGAGTGCCTTTTTGCATCTTACAAGTTATTTAAAAGTTTTAAGTGGAAGAGAAACTTGCATTCGCGCTTAAAAAAAAGCTGTGTTGAATTGAATGGTGAATGACCAACAAAAAGCTTCAATTCATCATGTTATCAAACTTGCCACTTGAGTTATTATCACACCGATGCGCAACTTGCCACTTTGTCACGCGAGCTTCTGGTAAGGAGATAGCGTGACGAACCACAAATATGATATCACAAGTGCGAGGCCCACATCGCTTCTCCCATCTCTGCTAGAAATCGCTTGTTCATTTGACTGCACGTGGGAGGTGTACTTTTCTCTTAAACTGATTAGCTGGCGTATTTAACTCTAACCGCGGCATAACCAACATTTCGGTTAATCTGTGGGATTCTTGTGAGTCTGCGATTGTGAAAACAGTCTGTTCGTCAACTGTTTTACCCGTTAACAAG